TTTAATAAAGATTTATGGTATTTGTCTAGCTTAAAACTTTCCGACTTGTCTGCCTCTCGGCAATTTATTTACAATTTACGATTTGGTTTTGCCTCTAGTTACGATTTAGCTACTTATGGAAAAACTATAAGCTTAGTCTCAGTTTTCGTTACTATCGCTGCTTCAGTACTGACTAAGTATGCACTTTGGTTTTAGATCGATCGGGTATGCCTCTGCCGGGTCCTCCCAGCGTCATTCAGGGTCTAGTCACCATCCGAGCCACGGCGGGTGATTGATTTTCGATGGCGGGGTAAAGGTCAGGTTTACTGGTATATTTATGAGGGCATGCACCCGCTTCAGTCGCTGCAGCGTGGACCGTATGATCACGCCGTTCTTCCCCAGCAGGAAGCCCGCGGGTATTGAAGCATCTCTATTGGAGTTGTCGTGGATCATCTCGATGTAGTGGTCGAATTCTGGTGAATTCGGATTGTACTCTGTGATGATGGCGCCCACGGCCCCGGCCATCTCCGCCTGCAGGGTCTTGCTGAGGAAGGAGCACTCTCTGTAAGTGCCACGCACATTGAATTTTGTTAGATAAAACTGTGGTCAAATCTTATCAATTCCATCCGCTTACCCCCTGTCCATGAGAGCGATACTTCCATGAAGATCACGTGTGTTGCGCAGCTTCTGGCAGGCGCCTGGGGGATCAGTCAGCACCAGAGGGACGCCTTCGAACTTCTCCGAGAAGGTAACGCCGAAATCCTTCGCTGGCCGTAGTCTGTAGGTGTATTCTAGGTCTTGCGGCGATATGATTTCAAAAAACACGTCACCCGCTATTATGTCCTGGGTTGTAATGGGAATCGAAATCGTGGTGGTGGCTCGGATGCATCGGATGCTCAAGATGGAAGCAATCACTAACCAAACAATCAACATTTTGGACACACACGCATAACTCACACAAAAAATGTTTGTTGCAAAAACAAACCAATTCTCATTATTTCACTACAAAACTATCGATTGCACACACAGCCGAACCGATGTATTAGCACTAACCATACAGTATACTGTATGGTTAGTGGTATTAGTATGAAGAGCGGCGATTTGGACAACGTCAAAATATCGAGTATCGAGTATTTTCACGGTCGGTATTGCACGAACTGAAGTACTCGATGCTGGTATCGATTTTAGTGGCACAATTAACAGAACATAAGTACAAATTTTAATTTAACTATTTACTTGTTGCTTTTTATGTTGTTGTTGGTAATATTCTATTCCTGGTTTTTAGCACTTTTTTTAACACAAGCCGGTTGGCTTGGCGTGCCCTTAATGTAACAGTCGATAACAAATTGGCATGTGCACATTGGGCTGGAAGCCACAATTCGCAAGGTTAAATTGGGTCATTAGTATCAGGGTCAACATGGTCAATATTATTATCGTCAAGAAGGTAAATTGATAGCTGAAAAAATTAGATTTGAAAAAGAACAGATACATTTGCCGGAAACGTAACTGTCAGTTTCTACCACAGAGTTAAAAATTTGTTCAGTTGTCGATTTCATCCCGAAGTGAGAGCACCTCGAACCAGTGTTTGCAGATCCAACCGCGTGGACTTTCAGTGTTGCAATTTTTGCGTTTCAAAGCAACTCTGATTGGTTTTTTCGTACTCGATACTTGTGCCGTCGATGCCATTGTACTAGTTCTGTGGTAGCCATTTTAATTTTTGGCGTCGAAAATACGGCGAGGAAATTGGCCGGACCCTGTGGTTTTTCGCATTTAACGCAAGCAGTTTGTAGTCCTCGAGCAGGCAACGTGTGTGTCAAAGACCAGAAGTGTTTTACTTGTACAAATAACCAAGTTCCAATCCAGTACAATGTCGATGTCTGCCACGTGCTACAAGTGTAACCGGCCGGGCCACTTTGCCCGGGACTGCAGTCTCGGAGGCGGTGGGCCAGGAGGCGGCGGACCAGGTGGTGGTATGCGTGGCGGCGATGGCGGCGGTATGCGCCGCAACCGCGAGAAGTGCTACAAATGCAACCAATTTGGGCACTTTGCACGTGCCTGCCCTGAGGAGGCTGAGCGGTGCTACCGCTGCAACGGCATTGGCCACATCTCGAAGGACTGCACCCAGGCCGACAACCCGACCTGCTACCGGTGCAACAAGACTGGCCACTGGGTCCGCAACTGTCCCGAGGCCGTTAACGAGCGCGGCCCGGCCAATGTGTCGTGCTACAAGTGCAACCGCACTGGACACATCTCCAAGAACTGCCCGGAGACATCGAAGACTTGCTATGGCTGCGGCAAGAGCGGACATCTGAGACGCGAGTGCGATGAGAAGGGCGGACGGAACTAGGAGCAGATCCAGTACCGCGCTTCAACTTGAAAATCAACGAAGAAGAAGAAAATTTAAACACGAAAAAAAATTACAAAAATGAAAAATCAATTTGCTACAACATTCACAAAGCCAGCCAACAACAACAAGCGACAGCAGCACCCAAGTCAAGATCAACCCCCAACCAACACTACCGCCACCCCAAACACACACAACTACACATACTCCCATCGCACCCAAACACACTCACACCTACGATATTGGCACCTTAATCTAACCATCATCTATCCAAGAATCAACCAACAACCACTCTTGCATCTCTGATTCCAAAAGCTGAGCCTGCAGCGCGGTGCCAACGTTCCAAAATATGAAGAAGAAACTTTTGAGAAAGTAGAAGAAGAACCACCCAGCCGAATAAGATGAACGAAAACGAGGAGCTGAAGCAGAAGAAGAGGATCGGATCGAGAAAGGAAGGAGAGCACAGGAGACGCGGGGTGAGAGACGGCGGAGACGACGATAGCAACGGCAGCTGTGCAGCCAAGCAGACGATGATGATGAAGAAGAACAAGAGAAGAAGACGACGACGTCGATGCGACCCAATTTGTAAGATGAGACTAAACCCCAAACAACAAGAAAAACCAACAACCAACCACTTTATTATAATTATGTATGATTATGCTGCGAAAAAGTGTTTGAATTTACTAATTACATTATAACGAATGGAATGAAAACTATATAAGAATATATAAATACCTTAAAAATACTATAAAGCGATCCTATTAGGAGTTCCACACCAGAAGAAAAAAGTAAATAAAAAGTATAAAAAACAAAAGCAAAGAAGCAAGCGAAGAGACCACGTTACTACTCCATCCAGCTGCTGCCGGCGAGCCATAGGAATTATTATACACATGATGATGATGATATAGTATACCCAAACAGTCTGCCTACCAACCTACCTTTACCACCACCACCAGCACCCATAACCATCCACACCACCACCAGAGAATCACCAAACCAATCCCCAAGCAAGACGAAACTCGCCCGGCAAGATCTCGAGCGGGGTACAAGCGGAGCTAGCTAAGCCGGAGGGGCAGCAAACAAGAACAGAAGACACAAGAGCAGGGAGCACATCAGCGATGGTAGAAAGAGACACTGGAGGAGATATGTAGACGACGAACCGATGAGAAGAACACAGAACAGAGCCCCAGTTGTAATACACTTTCAGTTGTAACGAGACACCTACGAGGAGAGATGCGAAACCTACGATGAAGAAAATGAAAATTCAAATATCACTGTGATTGTTTTTTAATTGTAAATTAAAATGCTGGAGCTGCTGATTTGAGTCAAAAAAAATAATCCCAAGCCATGTGTCGTCTTTGCTCATTTATTCTTCATCTGTTTTTTCTTTTTCTTTTTAGCAAATTGTTGGGGCCGGGCGGGAGCCGATCTCTGATCACCGGTTCTCTTGTGATCTCTTTCGTTGCTCTTTTCTTTGTTTCGTGGGTAACCAGTTTTTGGTGTGGTGCCGGTAAAGTTGCAGCTGTGAGCGAACACATGGCACGGGCAGCTGATGGGGGCTCTGTCTGCCCTGCTCGATCTCTGACTCAGCTTTTGGAGGAAGAGGGAGTGTGCCCGCCTGCCCGCCTGCCCGGCAAAAATCTGCCATTGTCTTCGAGTGTGTGTTTTCTGCTTTCTTTGCGCCGTTTCCTTGTGCATTTTATGTACAAGTACACGCACACACTTGCACGCAAGTAAACCTACATACATACATACATACACACATTAAATGAATACCTCGAAGCAAAGTACAGTCGTCGCCGTGTGCTGCTAATGGTGAAAACTCGCAGGCGGCGACAACGACCCATACATACATATGTACATGCATATACGTAGAGAGGTGACTGTTTGGCGAGAGAGAAAGAGAGGAGGAACAAGCATGATATGATTGCAGCGCGGGGGGGGACGACTGCGAAACTTCAATTCCGTTGCGCCCGCTGCCATGCTGTTGCACTTAGCAACAAGTCTCGCCTGGTCTGGTCTGGTCGCCCGGGCGACTGTGATTGAGGGTCAAGGTCAGGCTCTCCGCGCATCAGCTGCTGCGCGCATGTGTAAAAGAAGTTTCTTGATTCCCGGAGTTTGGGAAACGACGCCTCTCCTGGTGGTGGGCCCAAGCCGGTTTTGCATGACTTCTTTGTGTAGAAAACGCGGGGAAACATCTAGTTAACGCGCCATTTAGCCAGGGTTACCCGCGAGGGTCGTCGTGAAGATCATCCAGAACAACTCTGTCTTTGTCAGTTTGTTTGGTAGGTTTTTTTTTATTGAATGCTCAATTACATTATTAGGAATTTATGCTACAAATTGATAGGTTTCCGATTCTGGTTTCGGTATATTTTGGGTAGAACATTTGTTGGTTAGGGGGGCTGCTAGGACACACACTTAACGGCAAACGAGTCGTGAAATGAACATTAAATATCAACTACAGCGCACCTAAAACTCGAATAGAATCACAAACAAAGTACACAATGCATTAAGTTACAATTTAAACTAAAACTTGAGGTTCTGTACGCTTGGACACCATTTAAAACCCGCATTGAGCAGCAGACGATACACAGAATAGATCCTCCGTCTGTCCATCTACTTCTCCGACTTGTTTCGCGTCTTGGCCTGGCTAGAAGATGATGTTGCCATTCCTATCTGGGATTTTTCAGTCCTGCGGCTGCTGGTCCTGGGCAAGGTGGTGCAGCTAGTAGACATGGATTTGTCCTGAAACAAAGGAGCAGAGAGATCTTTTATTTCTAGATTGTGGTGTAGTTACAGGAAACAGTCCAAAGAACATGCTGGAAATACTGAAAATGTTGGTTAGTAACGCAACTGTACAAAGGGGGTAGGGGCCATGGAGGTTAGGAGCTGACACGCCGCCCTGCGATGAACGAGCAAAACGAACACTTGGATGAGCTTGGATTAGAACGGACTCCCGGCAGGGCTTACTTTAGATCTCCGTCTCCCTAACCGGCACTGGCTCGTCCGGCATGGGGGCTGCCAGCTGGCTGGGATTAGCTTTGTTACGCAGCACGTTAGCTTTGATATTCTGGAACAGTTGGCCGATACCTGACTTGCGTTCTACACTGCCAGTCGACGTCTGGCTAATGGCATCTGGTTGGGGACTCAGCGAGTGTCGCTTTGGTGGCCGCGGAGGCGGAGGCAGTGGTGCTCGTCCCTTACCATGCACGGCCCTGGGACGGAGCGAAGGGGAGGGAGAAGGTGACATCTGTACCTCTGGCTCTAGTTGGGCCCGAAAGCTGTGCTTGATCTCCTCCAAGGTGGCGCGCAGTTCCCGTGGCGACACTGGCCTCGATCGTTCGGACGGTTCCGGATCTGTATCTGTGGCCAAAGAGCGTACTACCAGCACAAAAGGATCTATGACGGGTGCTACTAAATCAGTTAGTTTGCTCTCGGTGGTTGGCGTGTCTTCATCCGACCGAATAGGTACATCTGTTTGCAAAGTTTTTGTCTTGGTTTCAGTTGGAATCAAATGCTCCACTGCCTCGTCTTTGGTTTTCATATTTTCCCCTTCAAATGGATCTTCTTTCTTTGATTCTCCACATGACAGAACTTCGAGCTCTGCGGCTCTCTCTTCTTCATCTGTTTCTATCAACGGCATGGCTTCATAGAAGTCATCCTCTTCTGCATCCTCTTCGTCAACTTCATGATGTGTGATCATCTCCACATTGTGAAAAACCTTCAATTCTTCTTCCCTTTCCTGGCGAACACCTTGAAAGTATAGCTGATTCTCCAAATATACCTCGTCTCTCATCTCCTCCAGCAACTGCTAACCAACACCAATCTCTAGATGGATTAAGAAAGTCATGGAAGAAAAGACACGCATCATGCCTACCTCATTGCGCTTGGACTTGACACGGCCCTTGGAAGCATTTGTCATGGAGGAAGTGCGACTGAGTCCACTAATCGGTTCGGCACTGGAGTAGCCAGAGCTGATGTCATCCTGGCTGCGTATGTTGTAGCTGAATGGAACATTAAATACGATAATTATACCGTGTTTCAGTTTGGTTTAAGATTCCAGCACTCACTTGAAGTCACCCGCATTCTTGGCGGTCACATCTACCTCGGTAAAGTACATTCCAGTGGAGTGACGCGTGCCGCTGGCAGATCTGCCCACGGGCGTCTGGTTACGTGGCCGCAGGAGACGCGTTGCAGTTGGCTGTGTGCGCATCACCACCGACGAGGACATGGGCGACCTCATCACCAAGTCCAGCTCATCCTGGGTGCGGTGCATATCTGGCTCGCTCAGATCACTGAGGCTGTAGCTCCTCTTGATCGTCTGAACCAGATTGCCGCCGCCCTTTCGTGGGAGGATTATAGTAGAGATAGGACATTGAGTAAAAGCATTTGCCTTTAAATAATTTAATTATACTAAAAAATTATCGTAAACATACATAGGAATTATAAAAGACATGAAAGGAGGAGTAATCATATACATGTGCGGAACAAAAAGCTTCCAGCTGGCGGCCGGGATTAGATGGTATGTGTACATATGTGCTGGGTATCGCTGAGTGTATAAAATTCGATCATTCGCTGAGTATCTATTGGTGCCGGAGGCCTGTCTGGTGCCGGTGTCGCATTTAGTCGTTCTCCACATCCACGTCGGGTGTGGGCTCGCGCAGCCTGCGGCGTGCTCGCACCCCTTGCGTGGCAGCACCGGGAGCCTCTAGGTCCGGGGTGCGGCTGACACGTTTGACGGGTGCTCTGGAGGCAGCAGCTGCGGCTCTTCGGGGCTGCGCCCTGCGTGCTGGCAAATCACGTAGACGAGCCGCTCCAGCATCATGCGGCGGCTCCTCCTCCCTCATCTCTTGTATAACCACTCCGCGACCCTGTGGCTCGAGCTCAGCATAGCTCTCGATACCGCTCAACGAGTTGGACCGAGGCAGCCAATCTTCCAAGCCATCCATCATGTCCTGATTCCTCCTAACGGCAGAAAGATCACTAGCCGACTGCGAGTTTTGCAGGCTGCGGGCCGGATCCGGAGTTGTCATCGAAAAGGTCTGGCGGCGGTTAGCAGATTAGTAGCAGGCAGGCAGGGCAGGTGCAGGTGGTTCAGTTAGGGTTGGTTTGGTTTGGTGGGTTAAATGCAAAGAAACGTAAGTGTAAAAAACGAAAGAGTTAATCAAAAATGAGGCAAACGAAAAGTCTTAAATTGAAATGAATTGCAGTTGAGGCAAACGAACGACACACACACACACACACTCTGGGCCTGAACTGTACCCATGGCATTCCCCACATATCTATTTTTATGCCCTACCCTAGAGGAGACTCGGAATTGGAATGGAAATGATGCAACTGGTGGTGGGGGCACGGGAATGGGGTCTCTGATATCACAGTGGAATACAAATCTAGCGGTGAGGAGTGCCTGGCTAATGCCATGTCGGTGCATAAAGGAAATTTCCCATTTCTTTGTCTTGATTTCGGACAAAGCCATGAACAAGGGTTTCCAGTAATACGATGACTAATTATATTATGACAAATCAATAAGGAATTCATTCCACTACTCAAGCCATCGCATTCTTCGTATGGCTCTTTCTCATTTGGCTTTAATTAACTCTTTGACCTACATCATCACACCAAAACATCCAAGTATTATTTATTACTAAATGCACTATCTTTCAGGGAGCTGGTCGCTCCTCTCCAGAATTCATCTGGCCAAAACAATGTAGCGTCTCGAGTGTCTTGGCCCCCATTTAAAGTGTTTATGTGGAGCTGGCCAGCAAATGTGCCTCCTACAGCTGCTCCGCTCCCTGCTCTGGTATGAGTTCGTTCATTTGTTGTTTTTATTACATTATTTCAACATGTTCGTTTATCTGCTAGTATCTTCTCTATCGGGTTTCGTGTATATGTGTGTAATGTACTATATTGAGATTTAGCTGCACAAAAGAGAACAACAAACTAAAAACTAAATCGAAACAAACACGCAAATGGCACAAAGAGCATTCTATTTGTTTAAACTAAATAATATTAAAAGTAAAAGTGAAGATAAGAGAATTCGAGCTCTCATGATGATGATGATTATGGTGATGGTGATGAGGTGGATGATGATGCTGCTGCTGGTGCTGCTGGGGCTGCTGTGGCTGCTGGGGCTGCTGCTTTGGCGATGATCAAGAAGAGCGCGCGCGAGAGTATTGCGCAAAATTATATATCTATTTAGAACGACCGAAAGATGCTGCGGAGACGGAGGCGACTCTCTTTTGTTGCTCATTTTATGCAACGACGCTGGAGGCAATTGAAAATGGCGAAATGAATTGTGTGGCGAGCGAGCAAAGGGAGTGAGCGGATTAGTGTGTGTTTTGTGTGGTTGTGGCTAATTGCAGGGACGTGTGGTGGGTGGTGGGGAATGGGTGTAAGGATTACCTTTATGGCTGTCTGCATGATGACATTGGTGGCATAGTTGACTCCCTTGGAGCCCAGTTGTAGCACCGCCGAATATCCCCGCTCTGTGGCCTGAGTCAAATATTCGTCGATTTCCTACACAAAGAGAGAGGAGAAACCATAATATACAGAGAGCGTTAAACGTATGTATGCATATGTATATGGATAGCTATATGAGAATATATACATATATATATATCACACCTGTTCGTGGCGCGTCAACATGGGATGCACAAACTTGCGATACAATGTGGAGCTGCCCTTTGTGGCTGGCGATAGCAGCCAGAATACCAGAACCACCTTGACCTCATAGTAGAATGGAAACCAGGATATAAAGATGTCTGTGAATGTTTCAATGCATGTGAAAAATGCAAAGACAATCCAGTACATCATCCATTTTACCTATAAGTAAACAGTTGCTCGATTTATATTGGGAATGCGGGAAAGATCTATGCTCTACTTACGTATTCCTTAACGTTCTTGGTGCGCACCGCCTTGTACGAAGCATAGGCCGGATATAGGGTGCCGAAGAACAATCTGAAAGCGGGAAACAATAAACTCTGTGCACAAGTCCGCGGCGCTAAAAATATAATGATGAGCGAACAGATGCAGGCTGTGTTGAAGGAGAGACAAGGCAATGGCCAGCGCTGCAGCAAATCTAGGAGTCTGCCCAGTGCGTTCAGATTCTGCACGACTTTGGGAGTGGGCGGAGGCACGGGCTGCTCGACTATGTAGGGGCCATTGTAATCATCTGCGAAATCACTGTCCAAGGAACTAAGAGAGTCCCCTAGCTGGTACAGCGGCAGCTTATTCGGATGCCGCTGGTTGGCATAAATGAACTTTGGATAGACGGGGACTACATTCTCCTGCTGATGCTGGTGCTCTTCTTCCAGCGAGTAGCTGCGCCCATAGACGCTTCCTGCCGGGTGACGCAGGCGTTTAATATTAACTGGCCGCTGATAGAAAATCGGCTCCTGCTGATAGAATGGCCGGCTCATGGCGATGGCGATGCATTGCCAGCACCCGAAAATTTGTTGCGGTTCCTAGCGGCTAGAATGCCGAGCACAGACTACTGGCCAAGGCAGGCAGAGAGCACAGTGCAAGCCCGTCTAATGCTCAGGCGGGGGGTCTATTAATAAACGAACGCTCGGCACATATTGTTAGTCTCGCTGAGAGACAGCAACAGCAGACGCCAGCCACAGCAGCAGCACGTTTATGCGGAAGATTGTACTCTTCACCCGATCGACATGGATCACGATATTCCTCCCCTCCCCTATAGTAATCAACTCGATCGCGGAGCAATTGTTGATTAGATTGCAGCCCTCTATTTATACTGACAATAGTTTAGCACGGAGTTGCTGCGGACAGAAGGCAGACGACTTGAGTGTGGCCTCGTTCGGGGTCGGACCATATTGGGCAAGGCGAGTGCGTCGGCCTCACTGGGCAGCCATATTTGGGTGCAGTTCAATTGAGGGTTACGTTACACGTACGAGAGTACATATGGCACCGAACGGTACTTCTCCACCACGCACCAACGCTCGAGCAAATCACAGACCAGAAGCGTGACGCCCACACAATTAGGAAGCAGAAATGACTTTCGTTGCGGCTGGAGCGCAAGGCCGAGCTTCGACCAACTTTTTTTGGGGGTCAGTCCCACTCGTTCTCCGTTTGGTGTGGTGTGTGCTGGAGTGGAAGTTTGTATTTGTACTACTCACATTAGAAGTCGTGAAATCAAGCTGCTGATCATCTTGAAGGCCTTGCTTGTCCGCGCACGTACGTCCTTTGTTCTATAATAGAAAAGTCAATCGTAATTACGCGTACTTCTCCCTGTTCTCATCTCCGTTTCCTTACCCACTTTTTTTCTATCACTTTTTCATGCACTACATACAATTTTTTTAAATATTTTTATTTCTAACTGCAACACTAACAAATTTTTAAACAAAAGTTCTATTATAATTCGATTTTGTGACTACTTAAGTGGAGTCTGCTGAGGTTTGAAGAGGACTCCTCTACAACGCAATTTAGCACCGTGTTGCACGTCTCCGCTTCGTACTGCGGCTGTCACCCAACTAGGCTACAGTTTTTTGTGCATTTTTCGGTCGAAATCGCTTCTGTTTTGTGCACTGCTTTTTGCCTGCATAGCCCGCGCGAACAACAATGCTTTTGTTTAACACAAAAAACGCTTGCGTGCAGGACAGAGACAGACGAACAACAAAAAAAAATGTATCGATATACCGTCTCAGAAATATACCGTACGTAAATATACCGATGAAAACAACGAACTTAACCCACCTAACCCCTTTCTATCTAAACAAGTAAACAACTTGAGTTATGCCGCTGAAAATAACACTGTCTGTAAATTCTTCTTGTAGATCCATCTTATCCTGCCTCTTAACTTAAAACAACCACGATATCTTTTACCTGGACTGCGTTAAAATTGATCAAGGTTCATAATTTTCGTCGAGCGTATATACCCACGGGTCGACAATGGGCTAATCGTTCTCTGACCATGATCGGAAATCATATTCCCCGGTTTTAATATTTGGTTGAATATTACAAGCTATTTAGGACCTTCCGCTCTGAACACACAAATTTATCCGATTGATCGATAAATGTTCTACTGAATTACAAATTTTAAGTTTTGTTAAAAATGGGGCTAAATGGGCTAAATGGCTAAAATGGGGTTTACACAAACATAAGTGAGCGCGGGTGAATTATTTCTTGTGTGGAACTAGTTCGATAATACCGAGTTTAATATCCCCACTGTGCAAGCAACTGCCGTTCATTTTCCACGCTTGTGAGTCGTATTTGTTTCATTTAAAGTTTATAAAATATACGAAAATGGCGTTAAGTGCTCCTGCCTGTAAGGATACACAGGTAAGCGGTTCAACCGGTGGTTGCCCCGGCATGGTTCTTATTCAGTTCCTTGCAGGACTTTCAATTTAAAGTGCATAACAAGTATGCGGCGTTCAAAAAATGCGGCGAGCCCCGCAGCAATGTAAATCTTCTGGCGATTTCCTGCAGCCGCGGCTTGCTCTTTGCCGGCAACCCGACGCAGCCGGAACTTAAGGGTATGTACGGATTTTTGTTTACATAACTAGTCGTTGCACTTAACCAATGTGCCAATTCTTGCAGTGGTCATCCTCAAGGATTTGGCCAATTCCAACAAGTCGCTCGGCGAGCAGCCGCAGGCGAGGAGTGTACCCCTGCCCAGCGTGCCCAACTATATCTCCAGCAGTGCCGATGGCACTCTTCTGGCGGTTAACCTCACACAGAATGGCACTGGCCTGCTCAACATTTACTCGGTGCCGACATTCTTGGCCGCAGATGTGAAGCTCGTCTACAGCATTCGCCTGGCCAGCGAGGACTATATCCATGCCGTGCAGCTGCTGTGGAATCCGGTCTTGCCCGGAAGTCTGGCCGTAGTGCTGAGCAACGGTGCCCTCGGCATGTACACCCTGAAGGAAGGGGACACCTTCGAAATGCATTCGCTGGACAAAAGTCAGCAGGTGAAGTGTGGCTGTTGGTCGCCCAAGGGAAAGCAAATTGTCCTTGGTTTTCCCGGTGGCAAGATACAGCAGTTCAAGCCGGATCTTACGCCAGCAAAGACACTGGTGTGTCCACCCAACATCCACGATGCTCCGTTCGACACCATCGCCATTCAGTGGCTCTCGACGTACCAGTTCGCAGTGGTCTTCCTGCAGCATGGCGAGGACTGCAGTCCCGCCCTGTACATATTGAATGCCCCCAAGGGGGGATCGCCCAGCTATACCAACTACTACGACATCTGCTACAGTCTCAACGGGCCACGGAATCATCAGTTTTTCTTCAACCATGTGGCCCAGTGGAATTTGCTTCTGGTGACATCGGCCAATGGCGTGGAAGTGGGTATAATGGGTACCTTCGAGTCTGGAGACACCCCCGTCTGGCAGCAGTTTACCCTTCTGGATGAGGCGAGGATCGAGCTGCCTCTGAGCGAGGGCACCCAAGAGGAAACCTTCCCCCTCGGGTCTGTCTACGACACATCCTCCACGCACCAACTGACAATCAACGAGCAGAAGCTCCCCACTATGCCCATGGTGCATGTCTTAGGCACCGACGGCACCCTTCTATCCTTCAACTTCCTGAATCTACTCCAAGGTGTCCCCTCTGTGTGCTCTCCGCCCCCGCCGGTGTTTGACAGTTCGGGACAGTTCCGACCCCTGGACACGTTACTGCCAGCGGAGGAAAAGGAGGCGGCCACAACACCGCCAGAAAAGGAGTCGACTCAGTCCGTTCCCACGGACATGTCCTTTGCCTTCTCCCCGAACACGGTGACATCGACTCCAGCTCCTGCCAAGGACAAGCCGTCCTCGCTGTTCTCCGGCTTCGCTGCACCCGCAGCAAGTACTCCATTTGGAGTTGCTCCAACTGCTGCTCCCACCGCGACAGTAGCGAGTACCGCCTCGGCATTCGGTGGGTTTGGTGCGGCCACGACGACTCCAGCCTTAGGGTCCATATTTTCCGCGCCAGGAGCGACCGCATTTGGTGGTCTGGCTTTGGGTAAATCCAACGCAATGCCAGTGAGTGTGGCCAGTGCTCCTCTCGCCGTGCCACCGTCTGCAGCTGCTGCGCCCTTAAACAAGCCCCTCTACACAGTTCCGCACACATTTACGCCAGTGGCAACAAAGCAGCAACCGGCAGCGGCTCCCGTGTCCGTTGCATCCAGACAGTCGCTGGATAACACGGAGTCCATCGTTAGAGACATGATAGCGCTACAGATCGAAGCCTTCAACCAGGACATACAGCAGCAGAAGGGACTCACCACGGAGCTGCTCAGCACCGTAAGGCATCTTATTATTACCGCTCCAATAGAGAACTCATCTCATATCTCTCTTGTGCGTCTCTGGCACAGATTGCAGCTCCCTCGGCTCTCAAAAAGTATGCCAAGCGCTTGGACGACCTCGAGGAGCTGAACGAGCAGGCCAAGGACGTGGAGTTCGAGTTGGATGTGCAAGGACTGCGCCAGGGTCTAAATGAGGCCTACGCCATAGTGGCCGAGTGCCGTGGCAAGCTGGAGGTCTACGAGAAGCCCAAGTGAGTAGCCTAGCAAACTGCTGAGTATATCCGGCAATGCGTTTCATTGTGGTATCTATCCCCCTAGCATCACGCGGCTTATGAACTCGAGTTCCTACGATCATGCTGGACGGCGCATGCTGGCTCGTCTCCGGAGCTACGTGGCGGCCAACGAGGCGCAACTTCGTCTGGCCGAGCAGCAATTGGATCTTCAGTGGGACCAGCTTCAAGATGTGTTGCGGCGCAAGACCAAGTCGAGCATGCATATACCGTGCCTGGAGGGGATCTACCAGCAACTGACGCGGCTCCAGAACCTTGCCTCGGACCAGAGGATCAAGCAGAACAGCATCAAGGCCAAGCTCAAGGAGCGTGGCCTGCTCCAGGCCGCACTTCTCGACCAGGACAAGAGTCGCACTCGCACCAATGAAGCGTTAGTAGCAGCTATGATACCCTCCCCCGTCCACCCTGACTGCCTCTCTAACTACTGTCATTTGCTTTTGCTTTCAGTGTGGAAACCTTGGCTGACTCGATTCTCTCGATGAGTCTTAGTCAGACTGTCGACACGAATGCCGCCAAGCTCACACAGCACAAGCTCCGCCAGATCCGAAACGTGGTGCAGCTGCAAAAGGTCAGCATCATTAGTCCCCAGCGTCCAGATCGTGTGGGGCTGAAGTCCGAAGTTATACTCGAGACCAAGCGCAAGGCAGAGATATTGAAAAAGGCCGCCGCAAAGGCGACTACTGCCAACAAGGCCACCCAGGTGGCGGCACCGGCACCGGCACCGGCACCTGCACCAACTCCAGCTCCAGCCGCTGCTCCTGTTGCGCCCCAACTACCAAAACCAACAGCATCCAAGCCCGCGGCCAGCATCCCGGCCCTCAGTGCAGCACCCATCGCAACGCCATTCGCCTTCAGCCAGAGCAGTCCGTTTGTGAAGACTTCGAGTGTGACCACGACAACCACCACGGTAAGCTCTGGAGAGGCTCCAAAGCCGGCTGTCTCTTTGTTTGGAGGGCCAAGTAGGTCCGGCTTGAGCTTCGGACCGGTAGGAGGTGGTCTTTCGTTTGGGGGACTTTCTGCAGCGGATAATTCAACTGGGGCCAAGCCGTCCCTGTTTGGAGGATTTGGGATTAGTAAGGAGGCCACAGCAAAGCCGGCTCCTGAGCCAGCAAAGGCACAGGATCCCTTGGCGAAGGATACAACACCTTTTACTGCAGAAGTGGAGCCAGCGAAGGCACCGGAAACCCCAAAAGCAGAGACTGCTGGCAAATCCTTCTCCTTCACAGGATTCGGAGGAACTGGGGCTCCCAGCTCCACGTTTAGCTTCGGAGGACTGGGCTCTTCCCTGGGTTTTGGCGGCGTAGCAAAGACCGATTCCAACGCCGCAGTGACGTCATCAGCTTCTGGCGTTCCCCGTGGCTTGTTCGCCTCAGCTGCAGCTGCACCGAAGCCTAACGAAGGTGATACAGCGGTGACCAGCATCAGCACCACCACCAAGCCAACGGTCGCACCTGCGTCCACCCTGTCTGCCGCTGCCGCTCCACCGTTGCCAACAAACAACAGCGGAGTGACCAGTACCGCCCCCAGCAGCTCTGATTCCCTTGGAGGGCTTTTCGGATCTGTCAATATATGCAAGCCACAAATCAAGGAATCCTCCGGCGGTGAGTTATGAAAGAGTTTTGGAGCTGGCTTATAAACTAATTCTGATTCCATTTGAAAACAGCTTCTGGACAGCCTGCAAATATCTTTGACAGTGGCTTCTCATTTGGGGGACGAGGTGGAGATGAACCGAAGGGATTATTTGCGAACATCACTCCAGCCACAACAGCAACAGCAACGGCAACAGAAACACCTGCATCCGCAGAACCAACTACGATAAAAATGGGGCCAGTGAGCACCACAGCCGCAACAACTGCAGCACCTGCACCAGCTGCATCGGCTGCTCCGGCAACAACCACTTCAACTGAAACTAAGGGGGCTGCAACTCCACCCACATCCACACCGGCCGCTGCTCCGCCAGTAGTGGTTGCGGTTCCTCCGAACACGACTTCAGCTGCAGCGCCAGCGGTCACGCCTGTGACAGTAGTCTCTTCGACTGTGACCTCGAGCACAGCGGTGCCAGGCAGTACATTCTCCTTCTCCAATGCATTCAGCAGCCTCAGTACCGCTCCGGCCGCCCCCGTTACAGCCACCAGCTCCAGTGCATCTACAGTGAGCAATTCATCGTCTTCGGTGTTTGGAGGATCATTTACAGCAGCACCAGCAACCACAGCGGCACCTGTACCCAGCAATCCATTCCAGGCATCGACAACGGCTTCAGCAGCAACTTCCACGAACCTTTTTGGAAATGTGGCCAAGTCCGAGACTAGCGTATTTGGAGGTTCACCTGGAACCAATCTCACTCCTGTTGCAGCTGCGTCCCCACCCAGTGGCCTTTTTGCTGCAGCAGCTATCAGTAATCCGGCGCCTTTTGGCAGCCCTCCACCGGGAACGGCCGCCTCCGGGGGTAACATCTTTAGCCAGGCCAACAAACCAAGTGTTTTCGGTCAGCCGTCTGCAGGAGCAAGCGGCGGTACGTCTATTTTTGGGGGGTCATCCGGCTCTCCATTTGGATCGACCTCCATTTTTGGCGGAAGCAATGCGCAAAGCCCTGCCAATGCACCCACTGCCGGAAGTACATCCATATTCGGTCAGAACGTCTTTGGGCAACCGGCGGCACAAACAGCGACCCCAGTGGCAGGCGGTAATATATTTGCAAGTCCTGTGAGCGCCAGCCAACAACCGCAACCCTCTGCTTTTGGTGGAGGCGGATCTATTTTTGGCGGACCGGCGACGACTAGTTCTTCGCCTGCTTCTGGTGGATCAATCTTTGGCGGTGGCAGCAGCTCTGGGTTTGGTTCATTCTCCCAGACTGTCCCTTCTCCTGGAGGCTTTGGCAGTGGCTTTGCTCAGGGCGCCGGATCGTCAGTGGCCCAATCCGGCTTTGGATCACCCCAAACGCCACAGCAGGCTGCTCCGGGTGGATTTGGAGCCAAGCCCGTATTCGGTGGTTCTCCGGCCTTCGGGGCCAGTCCCACCTTTGGGGGAGGCGCAACGTTTGGCAGTCCCAAGGGATTTGGCGGCTTTGGAGCCAGCCCTAACGTGGCCGCACCACCAGCCTTCGGAGCCCCTGCGAAACCGGCCGGCGGCAACATCTTCGACACCTTGGGTGGTCAGGACTCTGGCTTGTCCTTTGGCAATCTGGCCCAGACCGGCAACCCCAATGCCCAGAAGCCAGCTTTTGGCGGGTAAGTAGACAAATCAGCGTTCCTATAATGATTTACTATGCAACAAATGTTCTCTATCATTGCAGATCGAGTTTTATGAATTATCGTTGAATTTATGTCCTGTCTCGTCCAATTACTTGATTTGTTCTTCCCGTTACGACTAGGATATAACTTTACCAATTAAGTCCTAATTACATGTAGATTCTGAAATATATTTCAACATAAAATTATAATACATATAACCATATGCGCGATATATTCAACATACATATGTACCACAACAACCATCAAACTTGCGGCCGCTCAAATGCAAGAAAACGAGATTTTTCGATCTGAGATACCAGGCGAACAGAAGTCAGCAGGTCACTGGTCACCCTTTTTAAATTTATTGGAACCCCCAAAAGTATTCAACTCTTTTCTGTGTTCTTTAATATTGCTTTCTGTTAATTTCTGTTCGCCTGGTAGCCCAAATCTCGGTGTTGAGCGGCACGAAATTGAGGGTGTTGTTGTAGTAACTGGATGTTGTTGTAGTTTGTTGTTGATGGATAACTCTGCCATTTCTCGTCCGATCTGGTCGTGCGATGGCTTCCTGTGATCGTAAGAAAATCCTTGATCTGATAATGTCCTTGTTGCGAAGGATATTTTATCCCTTATTTGTGGGCCTTTTTAACAGGAACTCTCTTTTTCAACGTTACCCGACAGTCGTGCCGAAGATACTGTCGCATATCCCGCTTGAGGCTGGGTCAGTCTGTGGACCCAACAGATAATTTTCAATGATACAAAAATAGTGCTTCCAAATCAATTTTGTAAATGTACATATGTATGTATAATACATATTGTCTCCATTAAAAATATATTTGTATTCGATTACGCTTTATGAAATATAAACTATTTTACAAGCCGGGTACTGATACTTTTGGCCATGCAGACCGACCTGGTGGTACTTCTATTCCTCTGCTGCTGCTGGGCGGGGGGCAAGTGGTAAGCAATCGTCTGGGGAAAGATTCAAGCACTTATGGAGTGGCTCTGTTTCCCCATAGTGCTGCGATGAACAGTTGGTGTACAAGATGACGAACATAGAGTGCCTTGGGAACCCGGATCGTGTGCCAAATTTCTCCAACTATCTAAAAGCGGTCAACATGGACTGTTACATCACTGTACCACTGCGCAATCCTGTGGTAAGCTGGAAGGATACAACCTCTGGACCAAAACTGATCGATATCTCTGCCAGGCTCGGCTGCAGTGGCAGCCTTTCCTGATAGACGTCTCTATTAACTTAGGCGACGTGATGTCTAGGAAGAACTTCCTTCCCTACGGTGTCATCTTCAGGAAGATAGCCAAGCGTTTCAGCAACCTCAATGGCTCCTTCCCAATTTCGGTATGGGTTGTGAAGGTTGAGTGGCTGCTTTTTAAATATCCTCTACGTGTATTTCCGTTTTCAGGGTCATACGGTCGGAATGGGTTCGGGCCCATCCTTGGTTCTACCCTTTCCAATTGGCCCCTACCAGGTGAGCGGCGTAGTCGTGGATAGAAATGCCACCGCCAGCGAGTACGTGGGCACCGTCAAGATCTTTTTGCAGGCCATGGAGCCGGAGAAGAGCAAGAAGAGGCTCACGTCCAAGAAGCAGTGAGAGAACGTCGGCTGTATGGGGAATAAAGCTCAAAATAAACTTTAAACTAAAAATTAATCATTATTTTGGATAGAATAAAAGACAGTTTCGCTTGGAACATTTACGCTTGTCACGTTTATTACGAAACAAATATTACACACAGAAATAAAAGCCATACTCGTATTTGCTGATTTTACCCCATTGTCAGTCCAAAATATTGTACTTGAATTCTCATCCCAAATCTTTTGCTGAACACAATTAGCGGCCGCGAACCGGCGAAATCTCCGTGAGGTAATTGTAAACGATAAGAACTGATAATTAAACTTGGTTTAGCAACAGCTATTACACATAATACATATAGTATATGTATATATATTTGTCAATAGGTTATACAATACATATCGTATGCGTATAATTAGTGCAGTGCGCATAACTACACATGAATAATTCATAAAAATAATACATACAGCACGGATACGGATACGGATACAGATACAGATTAAAAGACAAGTATTATAAATATATATAAAAGACAACTAAAATGACCAAAAGGGGTGGGGCTATTACACATGATCTTGTATCGTATATGCGCATATATAATATATATGTGGATATAAATAGTGAAAAATAGTCAAAAACATTTTACATATACATATAGAGTCATACATACATACAGCATACATATAAGTATATATAGATAGATTAGTATAAATAATTATTATTATATCAATATATGTATATGTATATATTTATAGGTTTCTTTAAATGCAATTCGATTTTTGTTTTCGTTTCTTTAGGACTAACTTAGGTTGGTAATTGTTAATAGTTAGAGATTTACATGCGACTACCCAGCTTAGATGTTGTTATCCGAATTATGTTTAGGATATTGGTTTTCGTTAATTGTAAGATTAGTTACGCTTCGTTTGCACACAGGTTTAGTTTAGTTACGATTATTATTATAGTTACTATTATTATTATTTGTATGCTTCTAGTCTAGTTCTAGGGAAAACACTTGCAACAATTTGCTGGAAATTCGTTACACGTTTTTTGGGGGCAATTTGTTGTTTTGTTTTCGATTCGATTCGATTTGATTCGATTCTCTCATTCGATTCTTTGTTTCCTGGTTGTTCGTTCTGTTCTATCAAAATACTTTCATTTCATTTCATTTGAGCAACTTAAACTTAAGAAGGTTCCGTTTATATGCACTTATTATCGTTTGCTACTCGTTTCTTTGAGACTGTTGTTTGCATGGTGCGTTTAAAACGACTCTTGCATTGTGTAATTGTGTGTGTTTCGTTAAGCTTATCGTTTATCATTTATCGTTTTGTCATTCGATATCAATCGTTCATCTGGTTATCTTTCATCAACTGTTGCGTTTCGTTTTCTATCTACAAAAGGAATCTGTACTAAATCCAATTTCAGTGTTCTTTCGATTTGGAGGTGGAGGATCTGATGATTTGGGGCAAGGGGAATGTTTCAGATGGGCGCATGCTATGGCGGGCAGGCAGGCAGGGGCGTGGCACATGCAATGACTTGCTTAAAGCTCGTAAAGGTGGTTTGCTTTTGTTTTTTTTTGTAATGGGGAAGGAAGCACACACTAAATTGTGCGAAGGAAAGAGAATTTGCGGGGGGGGCCAGGAAAGTAAATTTCTCTCTGAAACGGAAGCGGAAACGGACATTGACATGGACATGGCAGGGGCTACAGTTGCGTTTCATTTACATACATACATAGACTGGATATTCGGATCGTTAGATCGCCATTTAATCAGTTAGTTATTCAGTTATTATGCACATCGCCTGGGTAGCTTGCACTAGTAAATTTATATATCAATATATATGGAATATATACGTATATGTGGCGAGGATATGCCAGCAGCCCAATGAAGGTATTTCCATCAGTTGCTGGATACCCCACCGAAGGATTACATAGTAGATATAAAAAGCGGAAAGGGAAGAAAGCAAATCGATGCCGCTGCTCCATATGTATACTATATGTATATAGATTATGCGATTATCTGATGTATATATAGGGACGTGTATAAATGGCATATGGTTCGAGTATATATATCTGTGAGTATACATATGCTGAAGGAGCAGTAGTAGTAGTAGTAGAAGGAGAATGCCTCGTATCCTAGTAGTAGCGGGAATCGATAGAGTGGACAATTATGACGACGACAACGATGGCGATGGCGATGACGATGCGGAGGGATTGGGGAAATGGGGAAAGTGGGGCATTCGACACCGAACATCGAACACCCTTTGTTGTACTACCAGTGCATCACCCGCAGCTGATCGAGAATGCGCTGCTTGAAGAAGGTGCCCAGCATCCCGAAGACCGTCGAGACGGCCGCAATGCCCATCATGACCTGCATGACGCAATGGATGCCGGACAGCTCCTCCTCCGTCTGCTTGTGGCGGTGGCGCGCCCTGTGGTGACGCCTGCCCCCGCCTCCGTTCTCGTGCAGGCGCTGCAGCCGTTCCATGTCCTCGTCGAACTGCGGCACAATGGCCAGATTGATGACCTCCGTCTTGGACAGCAGTTGCTCGTTGGCTATCGTGTGGGCCTCCGTGGCCCCACCGCCGCCCTTGCTGGTGGCCTCGTTGTGCTCCCGCTCCCGTTCGCGCTGCTTCTCCAGCTCTCGAATGCGGGACCGCTCGTCCAGCATCGTGTTGTCCCTGCTGAAGTCGAAGTCGCGGCTGAACGGAAGCAGCGGCTGCTGCAGCGTGCGCCCGGAGGTGGGGTACTCGGCCAGGTTCACCTTCGTGAGGAAGTGACGCGGCGTTTCGCCACCAGCTCCGCCTGGCTGGGCCAGCAGGGAGCGAGGAGTGGCCTCCGTGGGCAGAGTGGGCAGCTGATCGCGCACTCGCGTCTCCTGGAACTGGTTCTTCTTGATGCCCAGCACCTCGGACAGCGGCCGGTTGATCATGGGCAGCAGCGAGTCGGAGGTGGGGCGGATGATGAAGGATCCGCCAGGCTGGACATTAGCCGGGGGCTCCATAATCTCTGGCAGGACCGGCTTTGGCGTGGTGGCCGCTGCGGCCTCGGACTTGCCATCCCCATGGTCATCGCTATCCTCGCTGTCCGTATACACGGAATCGTCCGAGGAGGAGTCGTCGGCTGCGCTGTCCAGGGAGGTCTTTGAGGGCTCCTTCGACGGCGTGCCGGCGAATTTGTGTGTGAGGTTGCGTATGGGCTCGTACTTGGAGTTCTCCGAGTCTCCGCGGTAGAGCAGAGCCACCTTGCCATCGGGTGTTAGAACGGGCGTAATCTTCGGATGTGGCGACGGAAAACGATGACTGCTCTCTGGGTCGGGCGACAAGGCATCGAAGTCGGTGAGCGCTGGCTTCTTCTGTTGCTGCTGCAGGTCCTTGTCCTGCTCCTGATCCTTGTCCGTCTGTTGGTAGACGATGCTCACCTTTCCGAGCGGCGTCGAGATGATCTTGATGGCATCGTTGCCGTTCTTGCGGTAATAGTGGCTGCCACTCTTCCGCTGCTGCTGATGCTGCGAGCCAGCACCAAAGAAGCCAGCACCGTCGCCTGTGTCGGCGAACTCGTCATCGACGCCGTCATCGTTGTCCTCGCCATCCTCATCATCGTTAGCAAAATGGCCGCTGCTCTCGCGCAGATCGATCGCAGTGCTCGGCACGGCCACGGCCACTGCCACCGCCGCAGCGGACTGGCTCTCCGTCAGCAGTTTCTTGCGGATGTTCTCTAATTGGCTCTGGCGGTAGCTGGCGCTGCCACTGCTGCTGCTACTGCTGCTTGGCCGGAAACGCGTCTGCAGGCCGCCAAAGCCACTGCCCTCCTCATTGACGAACTGCTCTTCATCCGCCCGTGGCCTGACTGTACGCGGACGCTCCAGGGCTATTCTCTCATCATCCTCGTCATAGCCCATATCCTCCTCCTCATCCTGGACGCCCACCAGACCCTTGGGGTCGGGTAGCGACTCGGGTTCCCGCTCCTGCTCCTGCTCATCCTCTCCGTTTTCATTTTCACCTGGAAAATCATCATCGTCCAGACCATCGTCATCATCATCATCATCATCATCGTAGAGATCTGCCTGCATGCGATCTGTCTGCTCCGTGGGGTAGTCCTCGCTATCCCCCGCATCAGCATGGCCTAGTGAAGCCTCCGTCTCCGTCTCCGGCTCCATCTCATCCTCCTCCTCCTTTTCAACACTCTCGGCCCCCAGTTTCGTGGTATCCCTAGGGCTAAAGCTAAGACTATCGGTACTATTACTACTACTACTATTATAATTTAAATTTAAACCTGTTCCTAAACTAACATCTAAGCTGCTATTGCTCCGTTCGAGCAATTGGGTAGTCGCATCTTTCAGTCAGTAGCATTTCTTGGTGCATCCGCACTTCCGGACAATATCCAAGTTCTTGATGTACTTGCGGTTGTTGCTGCACACCATGCGCACCTATCGACGAAACAAAAAGGGGGACAAGTTTCCATTAATCAACATCCGTCTGTCCATCCATCCATGCATGCACTCACCTTGCGGCGCCTCACAATCTTGGCCGCGCAGCACTGATTGCCGCAGCCTCCCACGCACTTGGCGTACTTCAGCGGCTGCCGGGAGCGGCAGTCGTTCTCCGTGTAGTACTCTCGCACCTGCTCCTTGCGGCACGTGGATGCTGCTGCAAAATATCAAGAATCAAGAATCAACAAAGTGTAATTAGTCAAGAGGTTGGGCTCATTAAAAGGCAGCAGATCTAAAACCCCCCGCCACCCATTTAGAGGATGAGCGTTGATGTGGCAGGTGTTTGTTTGTGTGTAAAGCAAATGATGAGGTGATGTGCGGGCCAGTCAAGCGATACTTTTGGAGGAGCGCAAAACTCCTAAGCCTAGGAATATGTACCTATATACACACGAGTAGAGCTACTCGGTAGAACTCACACAAGCTCCCACATACGACTATCTTTTACATAGAAACGAAACATCTTTCAAGGGATGTCTTTTACATCTGATTTCCCTTTGGAAATGCTCCAAGAATACAAATTTCTACATCACTTCCAGGGGTATTACAATCCCTATCTAGTCGGTAGCTCGACAATTCGATGCCCTCTCTCTTTCGTTGACCCCAAGACTTGATGTGGGAGTAGGAGGCAAAAAGCATGATAGATGTATTTATGTACCGGTGATTGTTGGGGGCTCTGTGATGCCCTCACCTTGATCGCAGTAGCGTCCGCGCTGGCCGTGCTTGCACTTGCACTGGTAGCCATCTCGGGCATTGGCATTTGCCACACACCGGCTGCCCCGTCGGCACTTGTTCTCCAAGCAGGGATCCACGGGTTCCTAAAGAAAATATCAATCATAAGTAAACATAAACACAGGTTAAAGATCCCTCTAGTGGTACCTCTTTCATGTGAGGCGTCTCGTCCATGAAGTCCTGCTCATCATCCTCCTCCTCGGCGGGCTCGCCCTCGAGCAGTGCACAGCCCGGCGTGATCTTCTGCTGGCGCTGGGCATTGCCAAAGTCCACCAGCTTGTGGTTGATCCACACCTCCTTCATGCAGCCCTTGAAGCTGGTCAGGTTGCGGATCTGCCAGTTCTTGTAGGCCTGCTGTGCGGGCTCCGAGGGCAGGCCGCCCAGGAACATGGGCGTCATCAGTTTCAGGTAGTCGTTGGAGCCCTCGTTGATGATGGAGCGTGCCAGGCCGCGGTCCACGCGCAGCGTGAAGTTCTTCTTGATGGCGAGCAGCTCGACGGCATGGTACTTGCCGTCCGCCACCATCTCAAAGCTGTACATGGTGGACACTGGATAGTTGCCCACGTCGTAGCTGACCCGGATGCGTCCGTTGAACAGTTCCACAGCCAGGTGGGCGTCCTGTCCGTCGTACATGAGTATGCCGTTCTGTTCCGCGCTGCTGAAGACGATGGTCACATTGGCCTCGGGTCTGGTGCGGAGCGGCTCCAGCTCCACGAACGAGTTGTTGTGCACGAAGCTGATGCTGGTGAGGTACTCGCACCACTTGCCCGTGTAGCCCGGATGGCACTTGCAGAGGTAGTCGGAGCCGGCGGCATTCGGCTGGAAGCAGACGCCGTGCTTGCACTCGTGGTTCTGGCAGGGCGACGTCTGCGGGTACATCATGGAGATCATGTTGTGTCCCTCGCAGTACTTGCCGGTGAAGTCGTCGGGGCACTTGCACACGTAGTCGTTGATGCCGTCGATGCAGGTGCCGCCGTTCTGGCACATGTGGTTCTGGCAGTCGTCGATGTTGTCCGTACAGTTTGTTCCGTGGAAGCCCGCCTGGCATTCGCAGCTGTAGTGCGTGAAGTGGTCCACGCATTTGGCCCCGTTGGCGCAGGGATTGAACTCCGGGCTGCAGAACTGGATCTTGGTGTCGCAGAACTCGCCGCTGAACCCTGGCTGGCACTCGCAGCGGTACGACTCCACGCCGTCGATGCAGGTGGCGTTGTTCTGGCACTTGGTCTCGCCCAGGCAATCGTCGATGTTCGTCTCGCAGCGGGCGCCCGAGTATCCGGGGGCACACTGGCAGCTGAAGCGTCCCTCCTCGAGCACCGTGCAGGTGGCGTTGTTGCGGCACGGGTTGCCGTAGCAGGCGTCTATCATGTACTCGCAGTGTCTGCCGTGGTAGCCCGGCTGGCAGAGGCACTGGTACTCCCGCTGGGGCAGCGCCACGCACTGGGCCTTGTTCTGGCAGGGCTGGTCAAAGCAGGCGTTGCACTTGGCCAGGATGTCGTTGCGCACGCGGCCGCGGCACACAAAGTTGGACGAGGGCGTCGACAGGATCAGCTTGTCCTTCATCTGCTCGGGCTCCGCACAGCGCGCAATGCCCGGCTCCACGTAGTCCAGCTTGATCCAGTCGGAGAACCACTTGAGGCTGCAGTCGCAGTACAGGGGATTGCTGCCCAAGGCTCTGTTTCGTTGGCGGAAAAGCGGAAAAGCGTTCCTTCAGTAAGCAGTCGGCCAATGCGGAAGCATTCCACATCACTAGATTACTCTACTCACATGTGTGTCAATGACTTGAGATCCTCGAAGGAGCCCTCCGGCAGCATCGAGATGCGATTGCCGTGCAGCGAGAGCACGCGCAGGTTATTGAGGCCAGACAACGCATGCCGCTGCAGACACTGCAGCTTGTTGTACGAGATGATGCTGCAAAAGGGCGAACCGGGAAACGTTTACAAAAATTGCATTAGCCACACACACAGACCCACAGAGAGGCAGACACAATTGATGAAGAAATGAAAGTAATTGCAAAACGTTTTCCATTCGCAATCGGACAAAATGAAAACCAAGCTGAACTAACGGCTAAGCTTTGATTGTGGATAGCGCACACAATGCACAGGCGGCACAGTGGGAGGATGTGGCGAATATTCTCCGGTAAAAAACTTAACCTGAATGGACAGATCTATCAAAAAGGAGACCAATATACGTATATCCAGACATTTCTAGAAACTTTTGATTCTGCATATATCATAAAATATTCAATTGAGAAGGAAAATATCCTACATACGTATGTATACTAAAGAACACTCATCCAGTGCAATCGATATTCAGTAATAAAATCCGATATCTGTAAGAGTTCTGGGAAACGTATTTCTTATATTAAGATCCCTTGCCTCTGCTTGGCTTCTTTCCATTCAACATAACTTTTAACCTCAACAAATTTATGTGCCTTTCCACTGTGCGGAAGGCAATAGCATCGATGCGACGCGACGATGACGCTGACGCCAAAGCCAAAGCAAAAGCCAACGCTTACGACTAATGCTTAAGCACGAGTCACGATTTCGACTTTACGTTTCGGAATGAATTTCGTGCCTGCGCCTTGGCCGTACAGCGGACATGCCCAAGACCCGGCCCATCGACAAACGATGCAATTTGGCGCAGAATTGTGTCAAGCCCTCTTGAGCCTTCGATTTGTGTTGCTTTTATATCGTGGTACGTCGGTAGTCGGAGTAGGTACCACTACACTATTTTTTGCGGCTTTCCGTTGCGGTGCAGGAGCAATTAAAAAGCCATTAGACATGGCCATGGACAGCAAACAGCAAACAGCACCGGCAACAGGGCCCGCCCATACTTACAGCGTGGATAGTTTGGTCAGATTGGCGAAGGTGTTGTTGGAGAGTATGGTGATCTGGTTGTTGCTCAGATCGCTGTAGAGTGGACAGAGAGAAAATACATACGATTAGTCTTAGAACCGCTCCCTCCTCGCCTCCGGATACTTACAGTCTGGTGAGCGAGCGGAGATGTCGAATGCGCTCGTAGTGGATCTGCTCGATTTCATTGGACTCGAGATAGAGCTCGGATGTCTCGGCGGGAATGCCGCGCGGAATCTCCTTCAATTGATTGCGTGAGCAGCGGACCACAGTGCCGGTGCAGGTGCACGAGGGCGGACAGTAGCCGTCGCCCAGGCAGCCCTCGCTGTTCTCGCTGCTGCATTTGAATTCGTTGTGGGGCAGATCCTTGATTTGCACATCACGTACCTTCGACGGGGCCGCACAACGTGCCGCTCCGCCGTTCAGCGACTTTTTACGCAACCATTCGGCGAACCAGGCCAAATGGCAATTGCAATTGAATGGATTCGAGGCGAGGTTCCTACAAAAAAACACACAAAAAAGCAAGTAAGTACTGGCTATTGTTTAGTATGCCATCTATGGGCCACCGATGTCCTACTGCTAATCAGGTAATCAGATGGAAATTACAATTGGAGTGAAGACTTGTAAGTGCTACGTATAGTACTGGTATTTTTTGCATGGCAAAATCTGATGTGACTGAAGATCGGTTCAATTTTAAAGAAATTTCCTCCTGTATTCCTCCTAGCTTTGGAATCCGTTCTCACCCCATATACCCCTCTGGATAGCACGTATACAAATATCGATGGGTATCATAACATTCCAATTCAATTAGGGCTGTGGGGCAATTCTGTTTTTTGTTTTCGTCCAGATGACCCTTTTCCCCTGGACATTGGATATACTCGGTTCTGTAAATCAGAGCTCTTTGTGTGTGCTCTCATTCGGTTAACAGATTCCATTCTCCTATTCATCTCCCATCCGTGTGTGGAGCCAAGAGCCCCTCTTTGCCCCCTGGACACTCGGCACTTAGACACTTTAATTATGCGGTGGGTTCTGCAGAGAGCGAGAGGGAGTGGAGAGTAGAGTGGTTGGCGGTTGGGTGGAGCATAGGAACAATGGGGCACAAATTACATTGGCGATTCCAGAGTTACAACCGGCGTCCAGACTAATTCAATAAGCAGTTCTGCTTTGTCATGCCATTAGGAGCACCCCAGAGAGACAGAAAGCGAGTGTGTGTGTGTGTGTGCGTGTGCGTGTGTGGATGCCTTCGCACATAAACACCTTTGAAGGTGGCAGGATGGGTACTGTGGTGGGTGGTGGGTCATGTCATGTGGTGCACAGCACCTAATGAATTTCATTGAAGCTATTTATTAGCTAGTTAAATGAATTTTATAATAATTTTGCACACACACACGCACTTGACGTGCTGCAGCCACACACACAGATACTTTTACTCGTCGACGGAGCAGCAGCAGTCTCTTCATTGAACTCAATTTTAATTAATTAAATCATCGAAGGCAGCCAGCAGGCGGGCAGGCGGGCAGGGTGCTCTCTCTCCCTCTCTCTCTGGTCTGGTTCCATCATTCACTTGGGGGTTGATTTCGAGTGAAAGGGGGGGCGGGGTGGCGAAAGAGGAGCCAGTGTGGAATGGATCTGTTATCGCAGCAGGCACACACATGGACCCGCTACAAATTGGAGTTCAATTGAATTATATACAATAGTTGTGCTGTGCTTTCGAAGTAAAACTGATTTGGAAGAACCACATCAGAGGCTGAGTTCAACGAGAGAACAATCGAAACCATTAACCTAATTTCGTGCAGAGAAAGGGCAATTAATGCTTAAGCTAAATCATTTATCTATTAAAGTGCTCTATGGAGATGCCGAAGGAGGGGGAGCACTTGGCACAGTTCTAATTATTGTGCATAGGCAGCAGAGGCATCAGGCATCTGGTATAATCAGGGAACTTACAGCGACGTCAACGAGTTGAGATGCTCAAAGGAGCCAGGCATAACGCAGGATATTTGATTGTCGTACAGATTGCTGCAACGAGAGAGAAAGAGAGGGGGGGAAAATTGCTCAGAAATTCCCTTTTTGGGCCGCATTCCCACTTACAGGGTCTTGAGCTGATGGAGGCCAAGAAACATCTTGTTGGAGATTTCCTTAATCTTGTTCTCGCCCAGCTGCAGGTCCTGGATGTGCGACGCCCCCTCGAAGGCGTTCGGCTCGATGCCCGTCAGTTGGTTGCGCTTCAGCTCCAGCTTCACCAGATGCGGCAGCCGCCCAAAGAGGCCATCGGAATTGATGCTTCCCAGTTCGTTATCGTTGAGCAAACTGCAAAATCGAATAATGTATCAGCTTAACTCGGTTGGAGGGCAGCAGCCGGAACAGGGCAGGGACAGAAACAGGGACAGGACTTACAGCTCAGTGGTGTGGAGGGGTATGTCACGTGGTATTTCCTTCAGTCCACGGCCCGCACAGTCGACGGTGGTGCCCTCGCAGTGGCACATGGCCGGACAGTCCGAGTCCATTCGACACTCGCCGGACAGCTTCATTCGCAATTCATCCCAGGAGCCTGTAGAATAGTTGGGAGCGATGTTTGGGGTTGGAACGGGCTGGTGTGTCTGGGACTTTACTTACATTTAAATTTCTCCTCGCGCAGAGATTCAATGCGACGACGATGCATCCGCTTCGGTGACTCGCAGCGTGCTCCACTTGTCTCTATGGGATTTTTGTGCAAATAGTCGGCCAGCCAGCGGAGATTGCAGTCGCAAATGAAAGGATTCTTGGCCAGATGTCTATATATATGTATATATATAGATGTACATGTTTTTGTGTGGAAATGGAAAGAAAGTAAGCAAAAGAAAGTAGCATTGAGCATTCGACTGAATGGCATGGCGTTCTGTAGGGATTCACAGAGAAAGATGCTGCAAAAGGAGCCCACTGGAGGCTTGAGACGTCTTAAAAGTGCACCAGCCTTGTGGCTACGACATTTCCGTTGTTGTTCCACTCCACTCCGCCCTCCTTCCGTCCTTGGGTGTTGTTTTGCAACTATTTAAAAGCGATTCCCGGCAGGGTTGACAAATGCTCGGGGAAATTGCAGACTTGTGAATGCATTTTCCCCTTCTTTTATTTCGTTTTCCAGGCCACAGGGGGAAATCCTTTCAATAAGGAACGTTGATAGATTTCATATTGATAAACTTCAATGCCCTACACCCTATACCCTGTGGTATAGGAATTGACAGATGACCGGTGGTCGAATTCCTTAATTTCTCCTGCCAAATTGATGGCACTGATCGCAAGCGGCTTACAGGGGTCTGCCACTTAAAGATCTGATCGGCTGCAACCCAGTTAATGGTGAACAAAAGCTGACAGGAGAGATGACAACCCTGCACCCGGGCATACAAATCCTGGTTCGCGTCGCGCACTTAGAGTCCCAACCTCTGGAGCCGCGTACATTTATCGATGCCAAAAGAGAATTCTTCTCAGCGTCTTCTCGTCGTCGTAGTCGTCTTTTGTTCTCGCTGGAAAGGCTTTACGGTTCACCAGGGGGAATCCCGAAGGAGGTTTGGAAGCTGCCGCTTGTTTGCCGCTAAACAAATGTCAACGCGCAGACGAGGCAACGATGGGGCAACGATGAGGCAACGACGAAGCAACGACGAGGCGAGGGCCAAGTCAAAGGGAACTACTAAATGCACTTCAGAGGTTTAACACCAAAGTGCCTGATGCTCCATTCAAGATGGGGCATGGCATGGCATGCACGAAGGCATGGAGGCATGGAGGCATGTTCGAGCTTTCAGTATGCCTTAGGGGGAGGGGGGAGGCATGGCATCCATTCAAGTGGTGGGAGCAGCAGCGCTGGCAGGAGGAGGAGTCGTCTCTTTCCATGTACTTACACCGTTTTGATGCTCTTCATGGCGTCGAATGTGCCATTAGCCAGGGACTGTATGTTGTTGTCGTACAGGGAGAGCAGGCTGAGGCTGTGGAGGTCGCGGAACGCGTCCTTGCGTATGCACGAGATCTCGTTGGCGTTCAGCAGGAGCAGCTGCAGCGAGCCGAGTCCTTTGAAAACGCCCGAGGGTAAGTCCTTTATTTTATTGCCGTACAGCACGCTGTTGGGTGGCGCAGGAGGAGCATTCAAGCCGGAGGTGGGGCAGCAGCAGCAGCAGCAGCAGAAAACATGAAAAGAAACACAAATAAAACACACGACAAATGTTGAAAAAAAGGTAAAGAAATGTACAAGAAATCACAAAAATACTGGGCTGGCAAGACAAAGTGGTTAAGGCTGTTGTTGCCGTCATTCCTCTTGCCTCTTCCTTTTTTCTGTGTGTATGTGTGTGTGTCGCTGTGGCTGTGGCTGCCACATTGCGGGCGGCAACTGGTTTTGGCTTAACCGACTAGTGATGGGCGTGGCGTGGGAGGCGTGGATGCCACGTGACACGTGGGGGAATCCTGAATGAACCCTATTGTTATCCAAAAGGTGGGACCTACGAAGCTTTCCCAAAGAAATTTTATACTGCATTTATGGGGGTTTTTCATTCAATTTTGTTTTTGCATTCTTGGCCGCTTGTGCGTCTGTCTGGCACCCAATTGGAGGGGCTTAGACGTTCAAATGAAATGTCCTGAAGGAACCATTAAGCTCGTGTCACGCACTCCTCTCGATGAGGGCTACCCATGAAGGACTGGCAGGGCAGGGCAGGGCGAGAGAAGTGGGAGAGCTGTTAGCCAGGTAAGCTGATGCCTTGCGGGCAGCTCTTAGCGTGGGCCCGATTAGCTCGCTTCTGGCCAGGCCCAGAGCCCCGCCTGTCACACCACACACAGTGACTCTTCAGTCGCGTTCTGAGTTCAGTTTAGCCTCAGGTGAGTGCACATTTTGTTGTGTGTGATGGCTACTTGTTGCGCACACATCGCAGTCGCACCAGACGAGACGAGACCGCAGCACACCTGAAACCTGATACCTATACCCGTGGCACAGCCAGTTCCCTGGGCTGGCATTATCCGTACTTACAGTGTGGTTAACTGCTTTAGGCCGCTGAGTGCATCATGGGCTATCTTCGAGATGTTGTTGTTGGACAAATCAATGCGTCGCAGGCGTCGAAAGCTGGAGAACGATTTCGGTGGCAGTTCCGTAATGAAGTTCTGCTCGAGGCGTCTGGAAGAGTCAAGAGTAAAAAGTAAAGAGAGATTTGCATGCATAAGACTCGAGAGACTCGAAAGCCTTGAGAGATTCGGAGTCCGAGATCCACTTACAGTTCCGTGGTGTCGTCCGGTAGCGTGACGGGCACACTGGTCAGGCTCTTCTCACGGCAATCAACGATACCGTCCGCACAGCGGCATGGGTGTGGACAGCTGTTCTCCGCTCCGCATTCCATCGGGGCATGCTCCGTCAGGCCTGCAGAAGAAAACCGAAAGATGGGGCTTACTTATTTTGCAAATTTAATTTGAACTTCAAGTCGGAAGATGGAGTCTCTCCCCCCGCCCCTCCCTCTCTCCATAATTATCAATGCTACTGCACAGCACGCTATATCGTAGAAGAGGGGCTTCGGATGAATGGATGGGGTATGGGGTATGGGCTACGAGGAGGTGCAACTATAACCAGCCGCTGGCCATAAATGTTTACCCACATAATTCCATAGCATTTCATACAAAACGAAAGTCAAACAAGGAAAGAAATCAAGCCATGAACGGGTGCCAGCTGGAATACGGGATGCTCTTTCCCCAAAGATGACTCCCAAATAGTTGTGATTCAATTCAGAACTTTAATCTTTTTCAATTTGCTTCTCGGAATGTTATCCAATCGCAAGAATCCATCATTATGGCATAAGTAGTATCGAAAGTATCACATCTCATGATCGGGTCACACGGGTCAGCAGCAGCCCAGCTCAGGGACATTCAATCTCATCTCCATATCCATATCCATATCCATATCATGTCCCCCGCATTGGTATATCAATTTCACAGGCTGCCCAAAAACAGCAACCACGAATACCCTAACCATTCCGCTGTTCAACAGAAAGGAGGTTGAGGAAAGAAAACTCGTTTCGTTTCGTTCGGTTTGGAATGGGATGGGGATGGGGATGGGGATGGGGCACATTTTCCGCTTCATTGAGCGGCTCTGTACGCTCTGTGCTCTGCGCCTCGATTGTGGCCAATTTCCCATTCACTTGGCTCAGCGCCTTGGCTTGCCACTTGGCCCGCAGTCGTTGCCGCAGCTTCAGCTTCAGCCTCGGCTCGAGCATCTGCATCTCTGCATCTTTCGGTTGAGAAAAGAAGCCAAAAACACACACATACAGAAGATGATTTCAACGGCGTTAAACGTTTTGGCAAACACACGACGTCGAGTCGATGAGATGAGATGAGCTGAGCGGTGGAGCCAGAGAGCAAGCGATGAAGCCACCAAAACCACCAAGTGGTTATTGTTATACCCTCGCCGAAAGGGGTTTGTATGGTCTGGCCCTGACTTTTGGATTCCCTAAAAGGAGTCATTACACGATGGAGAGATAGTTGCGAGAACAGACCGATGATGAGACCAGTCTGGGGAGTGGGGAGGTCTCTTATGGGTTTCCAGGCGATTCAGATAGGTTTCATCCTCCAGCTCTCATGGATTGTATGGTTTGAAGAGTATTCCAAGCTTCGATCTGCTGAAAGTAACACAACTTCTCTTCATATGCCCCTGCTGCTGCCCCCGCCCCCCACTGTTCTGCTGTTTGTGGGCGTTTGAAGCGGGGGTGTGCCCATATGACTGCTTATGATTTATAATGCTTTGTGTTTGCCATCGTTCGATGGCTGCTTTGGCATATAAAACTAATTAATTTGGCGGATACATCCACATGGAGAGGCATGGAAACGGGACCGAACGGAGCTGAAATTTCTGTCTATTTGTGGTAGCGCCTTCTGCAGAGTGCAGAGTGCAACAACATGTTGCACAGACACACAAGACCATGCCATATAGCCGTCTAACATACCTGAACATTTGAACTCCTGGTCGTGCAGGTCCGCCACGTTTTGGCCCTTCAGCTGCGAGGGGGACTGGCACCGGGTGTAGGGGGCCAGCCGCGGGGCGCTGCGTAGGTAGCGCGACAGCCAGGACAAATGGCAGTCGCAGGCAAACGGATTGTCCGACAGTCGTAGCGCCCTCAATCTGCCCAGTCCGCCGAAGGCATTATGCGGCAAAGCGGTCAGATTATTGTTGTTCAGCGTTCTGAAAGAGAGGATACATACAGTACTATATAGAAAGACAAAGTAAAAAGGCAGACAGAGAGATACATAGTTGGTTAAGGAGGAGAGAAAGATGGAGTTGACTTTATCTGCCTGGCCGCATCTTTTCGGCTAGTTATGTTTTCTCTTTCAGGCATGGGATGGGCCCGGGACCACAGCACAACAGAGAGATCGAGTGCTGATCGAAATGTAATTAAAATTTACCATCCCATCGGTTTCCTCTTCGAAACACGAGGCAGGGCAGTGGTCTTGTTCTATTCCGTTGTTCCAAGTGTCTTGCAACATACGATTATTTCCCGTTCCGTTCCCCTGAACGCTTCGATTGAAGGCACGCTTGCCTTAAGCAAAAGGCTTGTTCTATTCCGTTGTTCCATTTCTTAGGAGGTTCTCTTCGACTTGAATATTTCTTTCTTTTATTTCTTGGTCTCAATTCAGCATTATTTCTGTTCCATTTACGTTTGTTTCTTTGAATTTCAAAGCTAGCCTAAGGATTACTCAAATACATATTTCATCTTGTTTCATTTCATCATTCCAATGTGTGGATACCCTCGAAACATATCAATATATCGTGTTGGGTTGTTGTTGGTCGTGTTTCCTCTCTTTCCCATTCGAATGGCTTGATAAATGGCCACCATTTCGGGCGCTTCGATTAGTTTATCTCTTGGCGCAAAAGCTAAACCATTTATTATGTAATTTGGGCAGCCCCAACATTAACCGATTGATTTTTAATTCATTCACTAATTCCCAAGCTGATTGATTAACAAAAGGCACTAATTCATTGATTAATTGACCCGCACCCTCTGGCACACTGAGATTCTCGTTCATTGATTGATTTGGCAATTCGGCAAAGTAGCTGCGATTTTGGTTTAGTTTGGGGGGACCTAGTTTACAGCACAGTATACTCACAGTATTTCCAGCTCCACGAGACCCTTGAAGGCGTGCTCGTCCAGACAGGTGACTTGATTGTTGTCCAGCTGGAGGCTGCGCAGCGATTGGGCGCCCTTGAAGACGCGTCTGCCCACCGTCGCGATGACATTGTGCGAAATGTCCCTGGGGGGGATGGATCGGGAATGTTAGTATCGTTCTGTCCACAGCACATCGCTGCAGATGGCTACAAGTATTCGACTACTATCGGCTACTTTCGATTCGATTTAACGAGTACTTACAATCGCAAAAGATTCGCTGAACTTGTCACAAAGTTTTCAGGAATTGCCTTTAGTCGATTGTTGTTTAGGCGTCTGATTGATTCGATTCGATTTGGTTTGGTTTGGTTTGATTAGAGTGTTGGTTGTTTTTGTTGTGGTTTTTGTTTTTGGTTTTTGGTGTTTCGATTTGGTTTGGTGTTTGGTGACGAGCATATTAGGCACGCAAAACGAAAAGGTAACGAAAGTAGAGAGATGTCAAAAAACGGCAGAGATATGCAATTAAATAAAACAGAGAACGAAATACGGGAATCAGATACACAAAATATTAACGAAATTCGAAATTGGAAACGAAATCTCGCATCAAGCTAGCTATATTACTATATTGTATGTATCTATATAAATACGATATGCACTCGTGTTAGGTTCCAATAAAAGAGCTTCAAAAAATGGGTTAGTAATTGATTTTTATGTTCAAAAATTCTTCATGCAGCTACTAGCATCGGTAGAAAAGGAGAGTACTATTACAGAGTACATATCTGTAATGTGTGATGCCGCCTATGTACTTACAGTCGCTCCAGCGAGACCAAATCTTGGAAGGAATTCCTCTCAATCGTATGGATTTGATTGTCAGTCAGTTGGCTGATGGATATAGAAGAGAGTAAGAGGAAATGTGTAAAGATATAAAATATAACTCTAAGGAATGGTTTATATGTACGTAGATGTGATAGGATCTTTTTGTTATCAAAAACTGGGTCATCGGATGATCTTTTAGTCCTCTAGACCCACAATGACTAACAAAGTAAAGAATATTGGAGTGTAGCATTCGTAAATCGTAGTTTATCTTAAGCTGCTTCTTGAAAATAAATAATCTTGAATCTTTAAATTGATTGACCGCGTCCGTGCGCATCCATCTTTCGGATGGCATTTCCCTATCACATCCCTTACATGCACAAGCACATTCCTTGGGGCTAACTAATGCTTCCACTCTATAGACCAAAGCACTTCCTTGGCGCATACTCACAGCATTCGGAGCTTGGTCAGCCGCTGGAAGTCCGTCTCGTATATCACGGTCAAATTGTTGCCCTGCAAATCGCTGCAAATATAGATAAAGAAATTACGATTAAAGGAATGGCATTAATTATGTTGCAAGTCCCATGCTGTTGTTGGTTGTAACCCAAGGAGCCCCAGCACACTCCACACACACCAGACACCATTCATTCACATTCAAGGCAGAGCGATAATTTTTTTTAATTGCTTGTAAGACAAGTATAAAACAAGAATCTGAGATATGGAGTGGAATGGAGGCTGCCCCGGAGAGTAACAGAGTGAAAGAGTGAAAGATTTCGTGCTGCCTGTTGTTGCCGATAAAGAAAATATGATATTTAATCATTGAACATGGAGGAACCCCGCCAGATGTGGTCCCACAGAAGAAGGAAGAACTGGGAACTCGTTTTGGTTGGCGCAGACAGCCAGACATCCAGACAGAAAGAGAAACAGAGGTAAAATTTGTTACCTGTAGATGTCATAACAATGAAATGCAGCCAAAAGAGATACAAAAGAGCAGCCCCGGATAGTGAGCATCTCTGCAACGATCTCAACCGAAGTCCGAACCGATCCGAACCGAACCGTACCGAACCGTGTGCACATGCGCAGACGAACCCCTCCCCGCCCACCAGCAGACAACAACAACGATTACAACAACTACAGCAGGTCCGGTCTCAGCTGCTTATTTTGAGCAAGGTTCGAGAGACTCCGACTCCAACAGGTAGTAAGACCTTCAGCGACCCGAAACGTAAAATATTTTTTGTTCAGGCTTAAGCCTTAATGAATCCCGCATCAAGTTGCCAGCCAGTCCCCAGTGCCCAGTCCCCTGCGAACCACAGTCGGAAATATACACTGAGAAAATTATACTGCTTCTCGGGAAATGCGGTAGATCTTAAGTCAAAAAGGACACAACTTATATTTACAGCCTTTTGGGCTTAGGGAAGTGCAATGCAACTACGTTTATTGAGAGCTACAGAGTGCCAGGGACTCGGCTAATCAATTTTAGGAGGACGGACTACTGCCGAACGGACAATTGGATGAAACTAGATCTAGGGTTTCCAAATATCCTCAAGAATAGCGAAAGGATTTGCAGTTTAGTATCTGATAAATAGTATTTTTTTGCCCCAGTGTAGACGTACTCTCCCAAGAGGAGGCAAAGCAAAGCCCGTATTCTCTCGCACACACACACACACACACACACAGATTTTAATGAGCTTAATATCTCTTCACATCTGTGGGCATCATCTCCTCTGCTTAGATCCAAGAGATTACACCATACACCAAGAGCATATTCACCAACAACACCAACAATGCGGTGCGATTTTCGATCGGTTTTGCTTTTGTTGTAAAAGCGAAAGACGAAAAAACAAAAGCTTCAATCTCCCTCTCCTCTGCCACTGCCACTGCCTCTCCCTCTCTCTTTATCTTTATCTGGCTGCCTAATTGCTAAACATTTTTCAAATGCTTCTGGCTCTGTGGCTCTGCGGCGGTGGCGTTGGTTTTTTCCGTGTAATTTGTTTAAATCATTTTTGGTTGGTCTGTGCATAATTTTTTGCCGTTTTTCTCTGGCTTATAATTAAACATTTAGACATTTAACTTCATTAAGTCCTATGTGGGGTCGCTCCGATACGAAAGCTTTTTGTGTTTTCTGTTTCTGTTTCGCTTTTGCTTTAGCATTTGTTGGTATTTGCTGCCTGTCGCCTGCTGCCTGCTGCCTCTCGCCTTCCTTCCCAATTAGGTGCCATTTTGGTTTTTGCTCTTTTGTGGCTCTCTTTGATGTGTGCCCAGAGCCTCTTTTGCTGAAGCAGCTGAAGATGGTTAGCTCTGGATACCCTTTCATAACGATTGGGCAAGTGGCAGTGGATACTCATGATCATTAAGTATGTAATGATTGATGGGTTTATCTTTAGAAACACTTTTGTATTACAGGTTCAAGTCCTTCCCTGCACCATAATACCCTCCAGCAAACAGGGTATCGAGCGGCAAAGCAACGGGAAGCAGCTGCTGCTATAAATTAGTCGTTCTCAGGTGTGAAAGGGAGAGACGAGAGAACCTTTCCCACTCCCACTCCCGCTCTCCCTCGCCGAACATTAGATGTGCAAAAATGCTGTCGTGTCAATCGAGTAAACTGTGTGGGTGACAGGGATAGGACTAGGGACAGGGACAGGCAGGGACAGGCAGGGACAGGCACGGCTGGGCTGCTTGTCAGAGCTTAGATCTGCCCTGCTACTCCTTTCCATTCTCCCTCTCGCACGTTGGGCTTCAGTCTAGTTCCGTTTTCTGTGTAATTAAATGGCAATGACTTGTCCAGCGTGCTGGCGGGCGGGGCGGAAGGCTTGCGGTGCGGAGTCCCAGTTTGCATTTGCCATTGTTTTTTCCCCCTCTCCCTCTTCTTTCCGTTGTGCATCGACAGGCCAATAGGTGTTCAATATTTGATGTGTGGTGCATGTGTGTGTGTGTGTGTGTGTGTGTGTTCTGGTTCTGTTCGGCATTAGGGTGCCTCAAGCTGCGGTCATTGAATATTCCAAAATCAATTATTGGAATTTATTCACATACGAGTATATGGAAATACTTTTCAAAGCTTCCTCTTTGACTTTGCCTCCAACTAAAATATTAATTCCCCATCGAATTTCCTCTGACAGCCTTCAATTATTTATGTAGATCTCCTCCCTGTCCATCGTCAGACACTGTCTATAATCTGTTGAAATCATAATTCTCTGCGTCAAGCACTTCACTCGCATCATTTCCACACCTTTTGGCTCCTCTTGGCTCTCGCTCTCGCTCTCCTTCTTCGTGGCTTTTCCCTAAGCTGTTCCCGAGTCCCTCTTGACACATTCTTCGCACTCTGACACACAAGTCTCTCACTTTCCACCTCCACTCTGCCCAGGAATGTCACTCAAAATGTGACATCTTTCTCTCGCAAAGCACTGAAGCCTGAAGCACCCTGTGTGCTGCATTTCCCATACCCCCCGTGCCCCCTACCCCTCTACCCATTCCCATTCCCATTCCCTGTGTTCGCGGGGTTTTCAGAGCATTGCATTGCTATTTTAATATGCAAATATGTCGTGCATGTTGATATGTTTTCTGTTTCTGTTTCTGTTGCTGTTGCCGTTCGTTTATTTCTGTGTGTGCCAGAGAGAGCATTAAAAAATAAATGGCTACATAACAAAATAAATACCAAATGTGTCCCTGAGCGGCGCTCGAGAGCGATCCAACGATGGCCGCTCCGCTCTGCTCTGCTCTGCTGCCTGTTTGACTGCTTACAACTGAACTGGGCTATAATGCTCTGGCAATGGTAATGGCTCTTGCTCTGACTCTGGCTGATATCTGTTATTAATTTATGTAGAAAAACTGCAGCCACGACAACAGCATGGCTTTTGAGGTCGGTTTGGGGGGCTCCAAGAGGGGCACCAGCAGCAGAGGTTGAAAGGCATTCTGCATACACTTGCTAATTGCCGGCGCGTTAATTTATGTGGCGACTGCGAGCGATGGACAGGGGACACCGAGACGCAGACAGAGACGGAGAGATGTATGTAGGACTGGCTCGAATGATTGCCTTAATGCATTTGAGTCGACGCGGCATGCAACAATTATGGTTTGGTCGCTGTGGCGGTGCCCCTGATGTGCTTCGGCGACAATTAATAAACTTAATGGCGATTTAATGTAAGAGAGTGAGAGAGAGAGGGAGAGCAGACAGAGACACGAATATAGCTCTGATTTCGAAGAGAGTGCGGGTGCGGTTGGGGGATTGGCACTGGCCACTGTCCGCCGGGGACCGGTCACCGGACCTTTTCCGTTCGTTTGTTTTCTCGTTATCGACACGATGTCATGGTCATGGCTTTGCTTGTCCCCCACCTCCTGTTGCTGTTGTTGTTGTTTGACTATGTAGATTTTTAAACAAATACAAAGCGGAAGAACCCAGAACCCCAGACGAATCCCGGCCGGAACGGAGCCCATCATCGTCCATCGTCTATCAGGCGTGTGCGTGTGCGTGTGTCTGGTCTGGCCTGGTCTGCCGCCGTCGGGGCTTTATTATTTTAATAGAGTGTGCATAATATTTGAACAATTGGCCCGTGCAGGGCCTTATTCCGACATTCAGTATTCAGCATTTGTCATTGGTCCTTCCTAAAAGGAAGTCTTTGAACAGATTTGAAAGGTATTGCCATTGATATTGATATTGATTGGGGATTGTGTCTGGTTTGAGCGGAAATCTTTGTTTTCCTCTCTCTCCGGGGGGGGGATTGATTGTTCTCTGGGCATTCCAAATGATTGCTGTTGTGGACGGAAAATGTGCATTTGAAAGGTGGATTTTTGTGGAAAGAATATTTGAAAATGAATCACAATGAAATTTGCACAAATATTTGGTTAGGTCTGGTCTACAGAAAATCCATTTGATGGAATATTTTCTTTTCGGAACATATTTTCTTTGATTATGATTATTTGTTGTACACAAAGCCCTGGTTCAAATGCATATACATATACCCCCAAAATACTGGGCTGATATCAAGTAATCCTTCGATTGGTTTGTACTTACAGTCGTTCCACATCTGCTGAGATCTTTCGGGGGATCTGGGTGAGACCACGGTGCGAACAGTCGACGGTTAGGCCGCTGCAGGAGCAGACCCGCGGGCAGCGGGCCTCCGTAATGACGCCCACACCGCCCCCGGGTATGTGTATGCCCACGGAGCCCAGGCCGCCGCTGGCGACGCTGGCACTGCCAAAGCCGCCCATGGCATATGGCTCGGCGCCGACGGGCCGGACGATGGCCTCATGGTGCAGGACCAACAGCAGCAGCAGGACCAGTGGCAGTGGCAGGCGCCGGAATGGTGCGGGTGGTGTTGGGGCTGGGGCTGGAGCTGGTGCTGGTGCTGGTGCTGATAATGGCAGCCTCGTCGTCGTCCTGGACGGCGGTGCCATTGTGGCACATTTAAGCAGCAGCTTGCAGCTTTTGTTCCTAATTGAAAGCGCCGTCGGAGGATTCCTGGGCGGACGCCACTTTGTCAACACCAATCAGGGATTCGTATTCGTATTCGGATTGAGTAAATATTTGCCCGGAAATGGAACGAAAGGATTGATGGGGGCTCACGGCACTCTCACTCTCACTGTATTTGTCTCTCTTTGGATTTTTGGGGGCGGAGGCGGAATATCCACTCGCGCGCACGCACTCCCCGGCGCTCGCTTCGGTTATTGTTGTTTTTTGTTTGTCGTTCGTTTTTCTGTGCAGCCGTCGCGAACGCGCTTCTTGACCGAAATGAAAGCAGATGATGATTCGGCTACTACGCTACGAAAACATCCAGCAGAAACTGCGACTGCGACTGCGAAAGCGGCGAGCAGCGAGCGGCGAGTAGCGAGTGTGGCAGGGCTACCCTCTTTCCACTTCCACTCGAAAATGTAGGTAGATTCTCGGACGCCGTCCCGTTTAGGTAGCAGCAGGAAATGCACTGTTCCTTTCGCTTTTGTGTATCGTCTCTCCTCCTCCCGTGTATCTTGTATCTTTCGCAGATGCACTTGGCTGTCAGCAGTTGGTCTGTGGCCCCGGCAGCAACTTCATCATCATCAGCGGCATCAGTGGCATCATCGTCGCCGACAGCGGCAGCGGAGACCTGCTGCTGGGCGCATCTGCAATGGGAAGAGCAACAAATTGAGAGGGAAAATGAGAAAATGTGTCGGTGGAAAATCATGAAAAATTATCTATAAATTCGGCAAGCCATCGCAGAGCGTCGCACCGCTCAGACAGGAAATTGCCACCGAATATATACGTATGTATATACCGTATATTTATTTCACTTAAATTCTATAAATGTATATGTATCTATGAAGAAGAGAAATCAAGTGGCCGGAAATTTATTTTCTCAACTGTCACACTCCAAAGATCCAATGATATATTGCCTAACCATCAAATTAGTGAAGGGGCACTGGCCCCAGCGCTGTGACCCCTGTGCAACCCTTGGAACACACACGCAAACACCTGTCGGCGGTAGGACTAGCGGTGGCAAGGGGAACCCACAATTATCAGATGTTTAGATAACATGTGTTTTCGTTGAGCTACCAGAAACAGGAATTTCTAGATGGAATTCTGAAATTTCTCATGATTGCACATATGGATATTATTTGGACACCCACTAAAAACGGTTGCAATCGGATGGCTTCTAGTGGATCTTATTTGTAGTTGTTCCTTATCCATTCCTAACCTACCAGAACCGGAGGCAATCCGTTATCTGCATTCCCGCGAGTACGCCCGCGGGAGTATCTCTTAATTGCTCTGGACTACAGTCTGCTTGAGATTGTCTTCCGCTCGCCCCTCCCCAGCCTGTACACAAGCCACAAATCATATTTAAGAGCACTTTGGCCCAATTAAATCTAGTGATTCTCTAATGATTCTCTCGGTTCCCCCTCTCAAGTGCCAGTCTTCATTTACTGGACAAAAATTTCAATCTATGTTTGGCTCCTGTGGTGGTGGCTCTCCTCTCCTTCGAATCTGTCATGTTCTGTTCTTAATTTGCAAATTGACATGTTAAATACGTTCTTGTTTCGCTCTCTTTCGCTGTCTCTGTCGCTGTCCCTGTCTCTGGTTTTATTTCAAAAAAATAATTGCTTAAATTAACATTTGGATAACTGACAGACGCGATTGATGTTGTTTCCTGATTCCCAATCCAATTTCTGACTATGAAATTTTCGGTTATTGGATAACTGGAGCAATCAGCGGCTTCTCTATCCCTCTCCCTCTCTCTCTCTCTCTCTCTGAGTATTAATCGGCAATCAAGAGAAAACTCAATTGAATGTCAAATGTAATTTGAACAAGCTCCCAGTCCCAGTCGCAGTCCCCAATACAAGCGATAAAAATATGTACAGACACGCACACGCACACACACACGCACACGCACACGCACACATAATGCATATCATATCCATGGAACCTATCAGAAGCATGCACGAGACTCGTATGTTGGCGAAGGGCCTTTAATCAAAAATTTATCAGCCTCCCCCCTCTCAGCCTTCTCTCCGGCTCCCACCGAAAGCTCTTTTCAAGAGGAAGAAAATATTTTGTCGAACAGCAAAGGCATGCCTTTCACATCACGGAAATGTGTGTGCGGGTGGGAGGCCGAGGCGGAGGCGGAGGAGGAGATGGAGACGGAGGTGGGGCTCAAAAGATGTAATCACTGCATTGTCACCCTGGATGGGAGGGACGTTTGCCTTGAGGGAATCTCCGTCTCTGAAGTCTGGTCGTGGTCCTGGTCCCGGTCCTGGGCCTGGCCTCTCTCTGTGTCTTTTATGAAACATAAATCAGTGAAATTCTATACATGCCACTGATTGTCTACTCTTTTGCTTGACTACTCCTCCGGCCGCCCCACCTTCCCGGGCACAATAGCCCCACAACAGGGAGCGGAGAACCCCTTCAAGCCCACAAATTCCATGGCAAATTCAATGCATGCCAATAACTCGTTCCTTCTCCGAGCCTCAGAGCACTAGACAAAGCAGCGGCTGACGATGGGGCTGGGGCAAGGGGGATCCGAAGAGCTGGTTGGAAAAAAAGCTAAGACTATAACTATAGTCTTCCAATGTGGATTACAGGCCTTCCCAATTGATGGCCTAATGAAATTCATCATTGAAACTTTCAATTAAAAGCCAAAAATCATAGAATCTTCGATGTGTATCAGGAATTCAATTTGGATTATTTATTTCTTGCGGGTCTTTTGTTTCGTAAACCCAGTGAGAGGCCAAAGGTGGCAGTATGTGGGCCGTAATCCTGCTGAAGGACTTTTGGAACATAGACTCTATGTTTGGTTGGTAATCGAATATTATTCTGGGTAATTGTATAGGCTTTTTGCCATAGCAAACACAGATGTAACCAGACCTAATGCAATCCTTGTACCAACAAAACGGACAGACGCCCACACAAACAGAGACACATGGACCCTCAGTACCATCGGGTCTGCCATGGGGTCTGCCATTAAGAGATAACACGCGAAAAATACAACTAAAAGAGTGAGACATTTGGACAAACAAAAGAGCGGTAGATCCAGGGGAAGAGGGTATGGGGGGGACGGAATGTCATCCTAGTTCTTCTTAATGATGCGACCGCATAGCGTGGTTTAAGAGTGGCCATAGATTTATGGTGCTATCTTGATGTGTCTCTCTCTCTCGCTGGCCAGCGCCTGGAGGGATAGAGAGGGAGAGAGGGGCTCTTGTGGATTTTCCAATAAATTACGCTTAAGTATGCTCTTAATTCAAATAAATCCAAGTTGCGCGCCACTTGGGAGTGGGGTCGGGACGGTGCCCTCAAGTGATTTGTTTTTTCTGAGGCTTACATGAGCTACAGAGAGAGAGGGGGATAGAGAGAGAGGGAGGGAGAGTACAGAGTGCAAATCTCTTGGGGGTAATCGGACTCCCCCCCTCTCTGTGTGTTTGCCCATTGCCTATGACATGTGTCAAAATGGTGTTTTCCTTCTCTGCTCTCTGACAGATAAGCCATATACAGTTATCAAGGGGGGAGTGGGAGTAGGGAGTAGAGAATGTGGGATTAGGCCTGGAGACAAGTCAAACATGCCAACTTGGCGTAAATGTTGAGCCTTAATCAATGAACGAGGCAAAAGACAGCAGCAGAAGCAGCCGAATCACAATAAATAAGGAAACCAGAGAAAGAAAACTGCGGACAAGGCACAAAACGGACAAAAACAAAGTGCAAACAATCAATATCAGATGGGAATTGAGATGGGAACACTCTATAGTACTCCCCCCCCACCGCCACCCCGCCCAAAATTCTCATTCGAGAAAGCAAAACAAAACAGGTTCCAATCATAGATACGAATATTCGTCTGGGAGACAGAGACACCCTCAATTAGTGCTCAAGTATCCCACAATTATGGATCTATGGCGGGAGATGATATAAAACAGAAATAATTACAGAGAGATCTTGAAGGGGAGTCGAAGATATCATTTACAAGCTGAATAGAGCAGGAAATACCTATCTACATATCTGTCCAAAAAAGATAATTGTTTAAAGATCTTTCCCTTTCCCTTTGGAATTGGAATTTTATATTTATTATAAATCAAGAAAGAATCTTTCGTGTTTCCTTCTCAGCGACTGTTGCATTCCATGGCCTTCGTGCTCTGGCATTTCCTGAGCTTCTTTCATTTCTCCTTCTCTCCCTCTCTCTCTCTCTCTGTTTCCACTCGCAAGAGAATAAGCCCCTGAGAAGCGTGGTCAATTCTCAATGAATTGTATTACGGAATAATACAGAAAATAATAATAAAAAAAAAGAAGAAAGGAAAGGGGGGAGAGCAAGATCTGGTCTGGACTCCACTTCGATGCTGGGATGTTGGTTGTCCGAGCCGGAAGTGTCGCATACTTTTACGGATACACCGGCTTAATTATGCGCATAAAATGTAAGAACATCAGCGGACCACGGACAGTGGAGGCGGAGGCGGAGGAGGAGCGGCATTGCCTGGGCATGAAATGACAAAACACAAACATTAATTGCTCCACATTCACATGGCAGCGGGGGAGGCAGAAGGGAAGTAACGAGGAAAGAAAGACAGATAGAAAGAGGGCAAGATGAGGCACGGGGGAGCCCAACGACTGTACTCTCGTTGTCCCGCAGGAGTTGAAATGAAAGGAAAGCACCAACAACAGCAGTGCAGCATACATACACCGAGAGAAACTCCAAAGAAGAGAGTTTTTATTGGTCTATCGTTGGACTAGAGAATTCCAGATCAAAGCCTGGACAGGGAGAGGCTTTCATTCAGTTTTGTCCACCAAAGAAAGAGGGAGACAGAGAGAGCCAGCTTTTTTCCCTGCTATCTGGTGAAGAGATCTCTCTATGTGGGCTTTTCTGCCGTTAAAGGGATCTAGTGCAAGTGCCATCTTCTTCGCACTTTCATATTGCAAAAAGTTCTCTTCTGATTTAAGAGAGCATAAGCTTTAAGCTTTCTACTTGTCCTCTATCCCAAAGAAGAGAGCGTGGCTAGTCAAGGTCAAGCACACACCCGACTCTCTCCCTCTCTCGCTCGCTCGCTCAAGCCTAGTCCCAAGCTTGCTCTCTGCTCAAGAGAGCGCAAGCTCCTGCTGGTCTTTCTTTGCCTTTGCCCAGGCCTAAGTACATTTCCTTTTCTGTGAGTGTAATCAGTGCGACTTCCATCCAGAGAGAGGAGTGCGAGGGGGAGGGAGAGGAGAGGCGGCTTATAATTTATTAATCTATGCATAGAGCCCCAACAAATACTCGGGTGCTCTTAATTCCCGCTACCATTCCGCCTCGACTTTCCACACACTCCCCTCCCCGCCCAAATGGTGGAAGGTGTCGTCTGTCCGTCTGTCAGGCATTCAGAGAGTGCTCTGTGGCTGGAGGTGCGGGACAGGCCACTACATGTCACTTTAATCTCTTAGAAGTGTCACTTTTGCAGCTCTCCAAGTGTTGTTTGGGTTTTGTTTTTGGTCCGCCTGCTGCTGCTGCTGCTGTGGATGTGGATGCTGATGAAGGGGCTTCCCCACTCGAGGGTCTGGAGCGGTGTGGGGCGCAAGCGGGGGCGTGGCAAACAATGTGCTGTTATAGTTGAATTTGAATTTTCATTTTGATAAGCAACCAAGAGGCATAATAACACATCCAATTGCATATGGTCCG